TATATCATCTCCTGCTTTGGCCATGCTCTGAGTTGAACAAGCACCTGTGATTCTGAAATCAGCAACCATAGAAATTTCTGTTTGCCAGAGCGGCGCTTTATAGGGATTTTGAGCAAAGCGTGAGATGCTGATTTTGATTCCCATGCTTAGGGAGACTGCCTGTACAAAAGAAGTTTGTTCAAGTAATCACAGAAGTGAAATCTTACCATGAGAAAGATCAGGCCTCAGGGCTAGGCTGGAGTTTTCTATGCTGTGAATTCCATTCTTATAATCTTTTCAGCTTCATTTCACACAGTAATTTTCCAAACTTTCCTCGATTGATTAGTGGCACTTCAAGGTTGATTTCTATCTGCAGCAGTCCATCTGGCACTAGCCATTAGTGCTTTCTAATATACAGAAGGTAATTCAGTGTTTGACTTAACTAATTAAAGTAGTTTGGTTTCGAGTTTGGGTGTTAGCTTTTTTTCCTGTGGATGTTTCTTTGTTCTTTCTTAACTGATACTAAAGCAAAAAATAACCTGCACTTGAATGTATTATAGCCAAGAACTTGCAAAAAATTAGGCAGAGCTCAAAGACAAGAATTTTCATGATGAGAACTTCTTGACATAATAAAAGAAATTGTTCTGAGAGACCTTTGAAGTGACCCCAGAAAAACAATGTAAACCTCTTGTCTCCTTGGGAACAATGAGGAGGTCTGAGTTAATTGCCAGTGTCTTTAATCTACATCTCCCTTGTGATTTTTCACTCTGAAGTTTTAGATTGATTCTGATTAGCTTGACTAGAAGACCTGATTCTGTCCCCAGTTATGCTACTATAAATCAGATGAGCATCTTCGTTACAACTGATGAAATTTATTGTGGCATGAGCAAACCAGGAGGATCAGAATCAAAGAACAGAGGACACAAAAAAACCCAAAACTGATTGTCCACTCTCACCCTGCTCATATTAATGTGGTGATCAGGGAGTGCCTGACAGGGACTGCATGAATAGTGTCCAAGCCAAAGATCAATGAAGTCAAAATCTGCATTTACATTCGCCTGAGTGAGCTTTCTGTTAAATTCTTGCAGTGATGGGAGAGGGGATCAGACAGAAAACTCGGGGCTTTAGTACTCAGTCTCATAGGTATTAACAGGAGACAAATGGTTTATCCCATCCCTGCCAGTGCTGTGTAAGAGGTAAAGGACTGAATGGACAGGCAAGGAGAATCAGACTGAGCATCATCCAGGATTGCCACTGAGTTAGAGGACAGCTCTGTTCTCTGCCTGGGGTTTCAGTCCTTCGAAGGCAAAAACCATTTCCCTGTGCTAAGGGGGCAGCATCTCCTTTCCCACTGGGTCTGCAGCCTGTGATTATAGTTGGCAGCACCCTCCAGAGCAACCTTGCCAATCATCTTAATTGAATCTTTCAGCTATTCCCTGCAGCTGCCAATTTTAGTGTGCCATGTATTTTGCACAACTTTTTCATCAGAGCAGAATTAGGAAACGTGTTTCTTGCTGTCTTATCTCTGTTGATAAATAATTGTATGTTGCATTTATTGGAAGCTTTGAACTGGTACATTTGGAGACGCTGTTTAATATGTCTGTCTGTGAACAACCATGGCTTGAACAGAATTTAATTACTGAGAATGGATTTCTGAGATTGGAAAGCACAAGAAAGGTGCTCCAGGTCCTTGGAAGACATCTATAAGGGGCTTGGAGGGCCAAATGCCGGAGCTGCAGTCAACTAGATTAATCAGATTGGAAACTGAAGAGAGGAGGAAGTCATTTCTGCTTAGCAAAGTAGGTGATACTGCATTCAGGGTGCCCCAAGGGAGGAACAGTAGGCAAAGCAACACTAAAATAATATATCTGTTCTTGGGAGAGTATCAAGAGTTGCTAGCTTTCCCTTTGAGTTCATCTGATCTGAGAGTGTGTGTGTAGAATCAAACTGTGCACTGCAGCAGTGAACCTTGCACCAGTGCAGATGCCTTTGACTTGGTTCCACAAATAGTTAAAGGGTTTAGCTGTTGGCAAATCCAAATGGTCTGGTTCCCATTTACACCAAGGCCTTCCTGGGGATATGCAGAGATAGCTTGGAGTAGGTGAAAATCTACTCATACAGTCATTTGGAGCACTTCAAAGGATAGCATGAAGGAAGTCCGCAGCATGGCAAGAATCAGACTGTAAACATCACAGACACTGTTTCAGTCCAGACAGGTGGCTATGCATGTGTGTTGTCCTGCATTTCTCCAGAGCTATTTGATTTTAAAAAGTAGACAGATGTCTGTGAGCACACTCTCCTAGAGGATTGCTAGTACTCCCTAATGCTCGTCAGCTCAGGAATCCTGCCCCTAGGTACTGCTGCATTTTTACTGGGTGATGAGCCCAAGAATGAATCCACAAAGACGTCAAACAGGAGAACAAAAGCCCAACAGTCTGTTTATCCCTCCTGTATCCCTTTGGTTTACAAGTGAGTAGTAAATAATGCAAATCCTAATTACATCTTAAATATTCTGAGAGCCGGATGAGCATTTTCAGCCCTCCGGAGGAGAAATGTGGTGTGTTGATTGATTCTTGCTGAAAATACTGTCTAGCATGCAAGAAAATTACCTCTATAACTGTTGGTTGGCCCTCACTCTTGTCTCAGCAGCTGTTTCCCAGGTGGGGAGCTGGCAGCACCTGCAGAAGCCCAACAGCAGCCCTCAGGTAACTCCTTTTGTAGAGAGGGCTCTGTGTTTAATCGTTTTAATACATCTGATTTGAGGATTGCCAGCCAAATGCAAATTCAATGTAGAGGTGTATCCAATATGTTTGGAGTCGCTGGGCTCATTTTTCATTCTCAAGTGTAAATGGATGGAGCACCAGCTGTGGCAGCCTGTCTCTGAAATGCCCACCCAAATGGAGGGGAGGGAAGGGAGAGGACTTTGAACAGCACAAAGGAGACTGTTTCTTAGGTAGCTGGCAGTGATTTGATTTAGTCTTGTGTTGCCTCCGAACTTGATCCCTCCAGTTTCACCATGAACCTGCACAGGCGTGGAGTGTAAGAGAGGACTGGCTGCTGTGCACAGCCCACACAGGCAAGGGGTGTCACTGAGAAGAACTTTGCTCTCTGTAAATGTTTCAACAGTGTTAAAGGAAAGGCAGAAAAGGGCAGTTTGAGTTTGTTTTCTTGTCCGTTTCACACCGCTGAACAGACTAATTACTGCCTGTGTCTGCCTAGACAGTAGCTTAACCCCTTCTCAGACTCGAGGGTGAATAACAGCACTTACATCCACACAAAAAACTGTTTCTGTTGCTGAAAACTTTCTACCACAGATTGATCTCTGGAGTTCATGTTGGCCAACAGCATTCTTTTTTCGTTTGTTTCTTTAAACCCATGCCACAGACAGCATTGCGCTGCTATCTGATAGCTGTACATCACTAGCCAGCAGTGAGCAGGTGATATGAAAGAATATCTAGTGCATGTCATGAGGAACAGGAGAGGTGGGTACAGTTTGTGTGCATCCAGCCAGCATGTCATTAGACCTGATTTGCTCAAAGCAGCAATGCTGGCAGAGTAAAATAGCTGTAGAAACAATTTTTACCTGCTCCTTCGCAGATCGTGTTTATAGGTTTTGTATTCACTTGGCTTCATCTCACTCGTCTGCATGATGAATGTTAAGTTACACATGCTTCAACACGGGAAGTAGGTTTGAAAACTTGCTGGTAAGACATCACCACATTTGACTTTAGGGTGAATCAGAAGGAGGTAGTGTTTCTCTTCCAGCACCTATGAGCTGATACAAGGTGCTCCGACAGTCTCAGGGTAGCAGTGAGTACTGACAGTTGTGTGTACAGCAGTGCTCTCCTTGCATCTCCCCTTGCAATTGTGGTCATCCACAAAAGATTCATATCTAGGAGCTTCTTCCAGCTCTTTGAGTGAAAAAAAAACAAAAACAAAAACAAAAAAAACCCAGAAGAAAAGTGGCAAGAATTCATGTCTGACCCCCCTGCAAGTGTTTTGCCCTGATGCTCCACGTGTGACAAGAACGTTGGTTTATTCAGTGCCTCAATAACAAGTGCTTTATGGATCAGCTTTTCTGTACAGGCCATACAGAAAGTCCTCTACATCAGCGAGGCTTGATGCTTTTCTTGTTCACAGCAAGCTGATTCACAGTTCCTTCACTGCAAATATGATTTAAATCAGGAATGGTGCCACTCAGATTGGAGGCAGGCAGCAATTCTGGGTTTACACTAGGACCACCAAGGCTCGCATTAGGTGTAGTGAATAGGGTACGTCAGTGCAAGCGAATTCAGACAGGAGCTTTGATTTTGATGGAAATAGTGCTGGAATTTCAGCTCTAGGACTAGTAGCAAGATAGCGCTAGAACTTTGGTATGTTTTATCTAAATAAAAAGTGTAAATTACATGGCAGGATTTGCTTTGCTCTGCACACAGCCTGTGTGGTGTTAATTAAATCCTCAGCTGCTTTTTAAGTGGAAGGAAGACTGAGAAAACGTAGATTAAATCAGTTCTACATTTAATTAAAGTAACTCTCTTCCATTCAGATGCTTTCCTACTGTGATGTTGGTGATGCAGTTGTAATGGTGAGCCAGTAAGAATCACCAAAAAATCCATTTTACAGAAACAAAATTGACTTAAAAATTTAGGAATTTTATCGGTAGCATTACAAAACCAGGAGTCTAAAGTAAAAGCCCAGATCTCTGCACAGAGAGGCTTTTTGTTTGTTCATAATCCCATCTTGGAATTTCTTTACACTGGCTCAGAACCAGTGTTTCAGATGTTTTATTGTAATGTTTTATCATTTTAATCGTACCAGATCCCTGTAGAAACCTCAGGCCAGTCCTTTGGTCACACATTGCTGCTATTCATAAGCCAACTGGGAAGAGAAGTGCAGCAGGTCTGGATGGATCCTGAGAGATGCTGTGGAGTGATGAGTAGCAGGCACTATCAGAAGATTGATGTTTACTAACTTTTTGGTTGACTTTTGTTCTTACACTTTCTTTCTCTGTCTTCCTGTAGGTTATAACCCTGGAAGGATGGGTTGACATCATGTATTATGTGATGGATGCACATTCTTTTTACAATTTTATATATTTTATATTGCTTATAATAGTAAGTATGAACTATGAGATGCTCCCATTCCTTGTCCTTGTGGGGTAAAGTTGTTCCCTGGGCTTTTCACAGAGAAGAACCAGCTAGGACTCAGAGTGGGAGACCTTCCTCCCTCCATAAAGCATAATCATGCAGGTTGTGATTAGTGCCATGGGGACAGATTATTGGCTACAACAGTCCTTTTTAGTGTCACACATGATGCATAGTCACAGCTTGTCAAGCCATATGGTCTTCCCTCCCTCTTACTATCCCACTCTTGGTCTTGTCACCTTGATGCGTCCTAAGTACTGTGCCTTGGCCAAACAACTGCTAATGAGAACAAAAAGCAGAGAGGCTGTACCTTTTCTTCCTTTAGGCCCCTCAATGTGCCAGAGGACACCTCATTTCAATGAAGGGCACTCAGACTGTTGAACTTCACCTGAGCCCTTTAAATAACAGTAATAATAGCAGTGCGCCTTTGTTACGTTGCTGCTGTTCCTAAAAACAAAGCATTACGCAGTGGAGGTGCTGGAGGTTGCCTTCAGAAGCTGCCCTTCCATGTTAACAAGGTTCTGTTTTTACAATGAACACAACCTTCTCCAGGGGTATATATCTGGAAAAGTTAAGCATTTAAGTCAGGAGGAGAGCAGAGGGGAAAAGTACCGTGTAGATGTCAGGCGGGATGTGGGATGGAGGCACTTCAAAGTGCTTTTGTGGTTGGTTATTCTTTATATATAACCCCATCCTCGTCAATGTGGTTTTCAAGGCCTTGGGAAGTCAAACCACCACAGCTCCCACCACCAGTGGGAGAGGCATGGATCTGAGCGGTGGGAGAGTTTCCCAGTAATGGATAGCATTCTGAAGCCAGTGATTTCTGAGCCTCTAGCAATGGGCCACGCATAGTAGAGATTTATGCTCCACTCTTTTGAGCCCTTCTCTACATACAGATCCTTGCAGAAAAGCCAGAAGGTGACTAATCTCCAAGTCACTTGGATCTGGGAATGGCACCCTTGCTGCTTCTCAACAGTATCCGGGCTGATATTACAAACTGGAGAATAGCACTGCAAACCATCTCCCAATGGCTTCCCCTGAGGATTCACCAGACAATGGTCCAGATTAAATCCATACGTTTCCTACTGAGCAGAGTGCAGAGGTTTGGCCATGTAGACAGTGGCACTTTCTTGACGTCAGTCCCTTTCACGCCTAAGGGCACTGATTCTCTGGTGGGAATATTTGACATTTTCCTTTGGCTGATTTATGAACCCAAGTGATGAAAAACCAGTTTGTGGGCTCAACAGCTGAGAGAAGGATGTAGCCTTAGGTCACTTCACATTCTTGTCCTTGGGACTTCATTTTTAAACCCTTGGTATCACCCAAGAATGCTTCAACTCAACCAGACAATAAATCAGGCCTTCCTGTGTGCACTGAATTTGCTGGAGATGCATTTCTCTGTGTCAGAGAAATACAAGAGTACAAGGTCACAGATGCATGGACCCTGACTGTCCTCCTCGAAATGAAGGGGCACTATGCCAGGGTGTGAAGTGATAGGGGAAGAGAAAAGAAGCAGTTTCAGACTTGAGACCATCTTTCCTTGCAGGTTGGCCGAGTGTTTCCAAATGATCTGGTTTGTGGTGGTAACTGATTGCGTTGTGTTTCATACACCCTGCGTTAGTAGCAAATGTCATCACTGTTGAGGGAAGGAAAGTGGTGAAGGCTATTATTAACAGCTTTTTTTGCCATTGCCAAAATAATTTAACATGGCTTAGGAGCAAATTTAGCAGCTCAGGCACATGTTGACATAACATTTGGTGAGCAGACCCTGAGATCTGGCATGTTTGGAAATCTCAGGATTTCTAAGAACCACACTTCAAGTCCAGACAGCATGTGGTGGTGAAGAGTGTGTCTTGTTTTGTAAAGTCCCTGCTAATTTGCGAATTCCTTTCCCTGTGTTTTCTCCAGGTTGGTTCCTTCTTCATGATTAACTTGTGCCTGGTTGTGATAGCAACACAGTTTTCTGAAACAAAGCAGCGGGAGAACCAGCTGATGCAGGAGCAGCGGGCCCGTTATCTCTCCAATGACAGCACAATTGCCAGCTTCTCGGAGCCAGGTAGCTGCTACGAGGAGCTGCTCAAGTACATCTGCCACATCTTCAGGAAGGTGAAACGGCGGACAATACGCCTGTACAATAACTGGCAGAGTAAGCGTCGGAAAAAAGTTAACCCGAACAGCACCACAAATGGGCAAAGCCACCGAGGCAAAAAGCGCATCACCTCCATACACCACCTCATCCACCACCACCACCACCACCACCACCACCACTATCACATCAGCAATGGGAGCCCTCGGGGGCCACGCTCCAACCCTGAGATCTGCGACCTGGAACTCAAGGTTATGAAACCTGGGGGCCAGTTGATGCTTCCTTCTCCATCACCCAACTTGCAGAGCCCTGCTCCTCCTCCAGATACGGAGTCTGTGCACAGCATTTACCATGCAGACTGTCACGTTGAAGGACCACAAGTGAACTGTAAGTCTTCCAATGCCCCTGCAAGCATTAAACTGGCTGCTGGACTCTCCAACCATGGCAGCATGAACTATCCTACTATCCTACCTTCTCCAACTAGCAAAGCCAGTTCTGTTCCGGTTCCCAAAGGAAAGAAGAATGGCAATTCACCTGTGGCTGTGGTTAATAGCCCTGTAAATTTGGGCACAGATTCTTATGGAAAGCTACAGCAACTGGTAGGAGAGCATGGTAAGGACAAGCTGGGTTTTTTTGCTTAGGAAAATTGGGCAAAGGGCAAATTGCTCAAGAGTTAAGGTGTTAATGATAGCCGTGTAGGGTGCTGAAGATGGAGGCTGTTTTGTGAATGTTACTTGACCAGAACGCTGAAGCCAGAAGTAGGACAGGTTGAGGGACTGAGAGCTCTGTTCCTTCTACCCTTGCATTTGAAGTCATTGGGTAAAGCAAGATACAGGATGGTCCAGGCAGTGAGTTCAGGCCACCACTGGAGGCCTCTTTCCCATGGCTACAAAGCATGTGTTTCTGAGCTGTTCTCATGTGCTTAGTGGTATCCTGGAGGTTCTCCCTCTGTTCCCACCCAACAACAGATCTGTGCAGCCCCTGGAATTACACCTCTGGTGAATAATGGACCTTGCCAGCTGCAGCCCTGCAGCAGAGAAGCCCCAGTTGATGGGAGATGGTACCGTGAAAGGGAAGAGCAGGTGGAGAAGCATAAGGTGTAGGAAATACACGTTTAAAACAGGGAGGCACTGAAAGAACTCAAAACAGACACTTGTAGAAACCCCTAGTTCTAGTTTGATGGGCCCCTGACCCTCTGAACTTCTTTTTGGCAGGAAGGAGCAGAAGGTTTGGGGGAAGACCCATGGCCACTACAAGGTTTTGCTCTGTGCTAGTCCTCAGAGGGTGTGTGTGAGAGCAGGAGTGTACCAGAGCTACAGGTCTTGGGCTTTCCCTCTCGTATTTCCCCATGTGCGGAAGAAATGTAGAACTGAGCGTTACTGCAGATTTGGAGTTCCATTCAATCTGAATGAATGAGGAACATCTTTAGGACTCTTTTGTACCTCTGTTCCATCCCTATCTGTACAGACTGCAGCCACATTGGTGTTGCTACTTAGTGTGGTTTTATCTCCCTTAACATATAAATCACCCACTGCTGGAGTAGTGATTACATGCAACACTTAGGTTTCTGTTTTGCAAAATGTTTGCAAAATGTCCTCATGGCTGGAGATTAAGGCTGAAAAATAGTCGTAAGCCCTCAAACAGTAAAAAGTCAAAAAGTTCTAGCTTCTATTTTTTAATCTCTTTAAGCCAAACTCATCATCTGCTTTTTAGAATGCCTGTGTTTTCCAAAACTGTTTATCTGCGTGTGCATGGACACAAATATTTATCCTAGTGATGTTATGTGCTGAAAAAATACCAAGTCTAGCTTGGGGGGGGTCACAGTAAAGGTTGCTTGCCAAATAGGTTGGGTGGCTTGTCTTTGTTAATTTTTTTTTTTTAAGTGATCATACAAAAGGGTAAAGCAGATTGTTTATAGAAATTGCTTTCAGCAGACATTTCTGTACGCTTGGGAGCTTAGCAGGAGGGCAGAAGGGGGCAAGGTTAGTTGCAATGTTCTTCTGCTGTTAAGCAAGGGCTTTATATGAATCACTTCTTCATCTTTAACTATGCAAGTTAATGAAGGTTATTATGAGAAAATGTATTTACCTTGACATAGAAGCCCAGGCTCTGCAGAAATCTGGAACTGGGAAAGCAAGGATGGGCAGAAAGAGCTGTGGCTTGGAAGGCAGTGCTCAAATCAGAGGTTTGGTTGTTCACGCTTGCGAGGGGATCTGCTGCTGGGGTCCTCTTCAGGAGAAGAAAGCATCAGATCTCAGTCCCAACTGTGACATCCCAGGGCCATTTCAATGACATAGGAGACTTTAAGGTAACCTGTGGTGGCTCTTTGAAAGCCAGAGGTTAGATGGAGTTGCTATTAATAATGCAATTATAGTATCCTCTTTATATGGAGGCATTTCAGCCCAGAGGATGCCAAAATGCTTTAAACAAATCTCCTGAAATTATTTTGTCTCTTCCAGAAGTGTGGCCGTGTCTAGGGGAAGGGGTGGATGCCGCAGCTCTTAGCTGGTGTGCGGCAGCTTCTCTGGTACCCTAAGGAGCCCAGGGGCTGGGAAGGGAAGCAAGTCAGCCGGGTCCATCTGGAAACTCTGTCACACGTGTCAGTGCCCAGCTCTTCCCCTCCATGGCTCTGGCTCTTTCCAGTCCCTCCTTCCCACTCATGCCACAGACCCTCCTGCCACACCAACAGGGTTGAGTCGGATTTGCTTCTGTGCTGCAACCATCTTTGTGCAGCAGGGATGATGGATGTGTCTTCCAGGCTTCAGGAGGATCTCTAAGTGCCAAATAAGCTAACTTCTGAGGGTGTAGCTCTGCCAGGCACAGCTCCCAACTCATGTTTTCTCCATCCCAGCCTTAACTTAGCAAAGGAGCCATGTCAAGTCTCTACCCTGTGCTCAGCAGGGAAGGTGAGTTGGGCTCACAACCCAACCCTCCTGGCCTCAGCCTCTTTGGGCAAACAAAGAGATATTTCACTTAATTCTCTCTCCACTCTTGTAAGTCAACAAGGAGACTCTGTTCACTGTAAGACTTGTGCAAGCAGAGCACACAAGTGATAATTGAGAGCATTAAGGAGGCATTAGCAGCCAGGGCACTCACAGCCCCAGCTGGAAACAAGGTTGATGTCTGCTGGGAAAGATGCAATTGTGGGAGAGAGTATTCTCTTCCCTTCTTTTGTTGTGGAATTGAACAGCATAAAGTACAGCCTGTTCCTCCGTGTTCTCGTGCCCTGCAATGCTGTGAGGTTATTTTAGCAGGCAGCCAAGGAGACTCTGGTATTTTGAAGACATCTGTGGCGCCAGTGTTTTTCATATAATTTTTAACACGTTGATAGCATTAAAAAATGTCTGGCAAGTTCACTACCTCTGCTATCTGTGCTACTGTGGCTGTGCTGCAGTCTTTCCTCATCGGGTCTCTCCTGCTCAAAAATGCCATGCTAATGTGCAGTGCTGCACTGGTGCTGCCTGCAAGTTGAGTGAGGGGGCAAATATTTCTGATCCTCCTGGTGTCTTTGTTATAATGACCAGGAGGAGTACAGTCCTTTCCTGCAAGGGTCTTCTGAAGGCCAGTGATATATGATTGACATTCAGGCAAGTAAAATACATTTTGACTCTTGTCACAACTCAGTTTTAAAGCTAAAAGGGTGTTTTTGTTTGGTTCTGCCTTCTCTTTAAAGACATCCTCAGCCAAGAGTGGCTGAAATCAGCAGCATTACTGCTGGGTGAGATCCAAGCTCCTGGGCCCAGAGCCAGGAGCATCCACTGCTTTTTGCTTGGTCTCCCCAAAACAGATCCAAGTGTCCCTGTCCAACCTCCAGATAAGGGGCATGTTACAGGGGAAAACTGTTCCCTCACCTTATTTTCCTGAATTTCAAGGAAATCTTTCATTGATGCTTGAATGTCATTTTATAGGAAGGATCCCAGGCTTGCAGAATCAGATTCATTTTGGGCTTTTTTAGCCATTAATACCTGGTTCCTAAATATGAGCAAACTAGGAATTTGGTTCCTAAATATGAGGAAATAAAATCTGCTTCCAGTTCCACCTGAATCATCCTTGTTACACGTGTCCATATCATCTTCATACCCTGGCTTTCTGAGGGCAGTCAGCATTTCTCCTTACACCACAAAACCGTGTTTGATTTTAAAATACCCCGAACGCTCAGTCCTGTGCCTCAAGCAAAGAATTCACCTGAAGGAGGGATGAAGGAGACTGAAGGGACTACGTGACTCTCCAAGCTGTGATCCGAGGTCTGTAGCCACCTTTGGTCCGTTTCTCCCCCTCCCTCCTCATTATTAGCTAAGTGAAAGCGCTAGCTAAATTGGGTGTAACAGCATGATAGGGCTCAGATCACCGCTAATGATGTTAGCATGGTCAGATATAATCAAAAATAATTGAAAATGTGCCAGTCAGTCTTCCTCCAGCAGCAGAACACAAAATGGCTCCCACGCTCTGTGGAGAGAGGCCCTTCAGCCCCACGTTCACGGAGGGGGCTAGAGGGTGAGTGTCGGGGCTTGGGGAGAGGGGAACAGAAGGAAAAACGACACAAAGCAAGAGCTGCTTGGTAAGATGGATGTCTAGAAGGCGTATTAAGGTTTTGCATTTATTTGAGGATGCGGCAGAAGCTGCTCTGGCCTGGGCAGGCCCAGCGCCGCCATGGCGGGGAGAGGCGGCTGTCCGCCATGTTGAGGGTGTGAGGCGGCTCACGGCGCGTGTCTTCCCTTGCAGGTCTGCGGCGGACGCCCAGCCGGCTGTCAGGGCTGAGCGCGGCCTGCCCGCTGCCCAGCCCGCCCAGCGGCACGCTGACCTGCGAGCTGCAGGATTGCCCCTTCTGCGCCAGCCTCCTGGAGGACCCCGAGTTCGCCTTCAGCGAGTCCGACAGCTGCGACTCCGACAGCAATGGCATCTACGAGTTCACCCAGGACCTGCGGCACGGCGACCACAGAGACCAGCTCCAGCAGCAGCGGGGCAGGAGGAGGAAAAAGAAGAAAAAACCCAAGGAGAGGAACAAGGTAATCCGCCTGTGGAAGGCTTTTGGCACCAAGCTGAAGAGGATCGTGGAGAGCAAGTACTTCAACCGGGGGATTATGATAGCCATTCTCATCAACACGCTGAGCATGGGCATCGAGTACCACGAGCAGGTGAGTGCTGGGCTGGCCTCAAGAGCCCTGAGGGTCTGTGGTTTCAGGTGCTCACATGGTGGCTTGGGATGGCTGTCAAAGCTGTGCCCAAGGAGGAGTAAGTGTTTTTCATGCAAACTGAAAAACCCACGTGGGGCCAAGGGCCTGATCCTGCAGGTGTGTGATGAGCTGGAGCATCCTGTGTACAAAAAAGCCTGGAAGGTGTCTGGCAACGCTGCAAGGTGTGGAGAGTTTAAATGTGTGTGTTAAGACAGAGCGGCTCAGAGCCTGACTGCTTAAGTTGTTTGCTGTGAATTATTCATATAAGTGTGAATTATTCTGGTGGAAATACCCCTTTGGTCTGGTGGTGGTGGTGCACAGTGGATCTTGTAGTGCAAATAACCCACACAGAAGTTTCTTCTTTGATCCTGCACCTTTAAATAAAGACTTAAAACTGTCAGGCAATGCTAAAAGCAACAAAGGAAAAAAAAAGTTAATTTTTCCCTGAAGGCTCCAAAACCTTCACTTTGATCTCAGAGGGTGCAAGTAGGTCTTTCTTTTAAGTGTTTGGAAGGTGGAAAGAGAAATCATGCTGTTTCCAGTACTAGTCTGAACATGGTGATGGCAGAAAGCAGTGCTGGCAGCGAAGGACAGCTTGTCCTTGTTGGCTGATGGGAGCTGAGAGGCTGTGCAATGGGAGAGGGAGGTGAGTCATCTGAGCATCTCCAGTTGGTCACTCTGGGGAAAGCTATGCTTTTCTGGGCTTTTCTTTCTCAGAAAAATTGGTTCCTTTCAACTGTTTTCTCGAGACATTCTCTGGAATTTCTCATGATGCCTCTATCAGGTGCAGAAAAAGCACCCCACTGAGGCCAGGAGATCCTCATACTGATCTTCTGTGAGGTGGATAGTCCAATGTTCATCCCGCACTCCCCCAAAAAAAACCACTGCAGGATCAGGAGCAGGTCAAGGTTACTTATAAAGGTATTCCTCCTCTCTGCCTTGGTCTGTCCACTCAGGAGTGAGGAGGAAAAGCAGAGTACATCCAAAGGCAGGACAAGAGTCTCTGCATTTTGTTCTGTCATTTCCCAGGATTAAGTCCTGCTTGGGACCATGGCAAACAATCCTCCAGAGTGCTGCTACTTTTATTTTCTCTCTACTTGAGTGCTTTAAACCCCCATATTGTATGCTGAGACATTTTCCTTCAGAAAAGCAAGTACTGTGCTAAAACACATGAACCTCAGCTGTGCAACAATATATTAGTTCACACTCACAGCGAAGAGCGTCCAAACCCAACAAAGAAATAGCTGTCGCTGTCAGCTTTCTGTCTGGTTAGTTGTTCCACAACAAGTTTTAAAATTAGGAAATACACCTTGTCAGTAGTCTTTGAATAGACCATTCATTCCTTGCGGCAGCTGCATTTCTGCATGGATGCTCTTTTGTCAGGCGGATACAGCTTTGTCAGTCCTTGGATGTTGCCATGACGGGTGCTGGGGGAGAACCTTAGGCAGGCTGCAGTGAGAAAGCCCAGGGATTGCATGGAGTCTGTCCACAATCACTTGTATAAAGGTAAATTGTGATAATTACATCCTTGCTGCTAACAAAGGAAATCTGTAGCCGGCAAGTTTATATTGGATTTTACCTTGTAAAAGATTTGCTTTAAACCATCTTAAAGCCAATGGCAATAAAGATTCTGAAGCTCTTGGCTAAGGACCATCAGACTCCCACCAGCTTTGCTTACAGGCACTGCCCAACGTGGGCCCAATAAAAACGGAGGAATTTTGAAGTGAAACCTGTAAAAGTTCCTCCACGTGCCTCACTGCAAAGTGTCTCTGATAGGCAGCGGGGATAACGAGTTATGGAGCTGTCAGAGCCCAGCCTCGAAACACCTCGCCCAAGCACTCTCCTATCAACCGAGTGACCTCTAGGGCATCGCCAGAGGCTGAGACACTATCCCAAAGCAACAGAAAATGGCTCTAGGCTCCCAGGCTGTTTGGCATGAAAGCATAGAGCTTCTGTGAGCAAAGTGGTGTGATTTCAGAACCCACGGGCCCTCCTTGTGTGAGAATTGGCTGCAAGACTTGGGGTGGAGGCCTGGCTTTGTGTGGAGATAAGGAGGAGATGCCTGAGCAAAGCTGTCGCAAACCCACAGCATGGTGTTGGGATGGAGGGGATGTGAGAATGGCTCATTTTGGGTATGCCACGATCCTTGCCAGGAAAAACAGTTTAATCACAGCTTTCTGGTTACTGAGTGACAGATGCTGCCCGGTCACTCTGCACCTCTGCTCAGAGCAGATATTACAAGGTGAGAAGGTGTGAGCCTTCCCCAGGCTCTTAACTAGACGTGGGTGTTGCCATCATCTCCTAGTCCACCCTCCCAAGGGCAAATCTGGAGGCCATTACCCAAGTCATAAGGATTTAGGAGCTGCTCTGTGGCTCTCTGCTTTCCTTGCGCCCACCGAACCGTTCAGTGTTTCCCAGAGAGCAGAGTTCAGCAGCTCCCGTTGGGGAGGCCTCCGGTGCTCTGCGCCTGCTGACAGCAGCATGGGCAGGGGACTCATGGGCCCTGAAGCCCTGCAGAACATCACCTACCATGGAGACGTTTGATCTGGGTGGAACAGTTTAAGCAAGTTCCCTTGACTCTTGCCCCTTGTTTTCAGCCATTGATAGGTTTTATCAAACTGGGCTGCAATCAGTGCAGTAGTCACAGGGAAGCCCTCCCTAAACCTCACTGTCTGTAAGGAAATTCCCATTTCTTTTTATAAAAAATTATTAATGTCTGCTTGCTTTTCTTTTTCGGCTTCTCAGACTTCATAGTCATCAGTGGCTTTGCAAATAGATGGGCACACCATATACATTTTTATTTCAGAGTGCTATTCAAAGCCAAGGCATCAATCCGAATTGAAGCTCCCAGCAATCTGCTC